GCTCTAGAAGACCCTGAGCAGACACACAGCTTGGAGTCATGGCAGATTACCCACAGAAGTTCGCCATCCAACACAGACCGCGGCAGGTGCTGGCCCCGAGGTGACGGTCAGGCACGGAGGGCTGCAGGAGCCCCACGGAGGTGACACCAGCGGTCCCACCACCCCCAGCACACACTGACGAGGGAATTGCTTCACGCAGCCATTTCTGGGCTGGGACCCAGCCGCCCTAAGCCAGGGTGCCACATGACGTAAGGGATGATGCCAGAAAACGCGTAGGGCACCTCCCGTACCTGTGCGCCGGGGCCACGGCCTCGCAGCGTCCGCCCGCTCCGCAGGTGGCCGTGGCCGGGCCCCGGGGTACGGGGAGTCCCGGGGCTGCGGCTCCGCACCGGGCCGGGGACAGGAGGGGTCTCGGGAGCCGGCGCGGAGGCCTGGGGCGGCGGGCGGCCCGGGCGAGAGCCTTTGTTCCCGGCCGGGCGCCGCGCACAAAGGGCGGTCGCGCTCACCTGCGTGCGGGGCCGGGCCGGCCCCGGCGTGCTGCGGTGCGGGCGGCGGTGAGCGCGGGCGAGCGGAGCCGTGCGGAGCGGAGAGGAGCGGCCGCCTCCTCCGTCGTGACTCACCGCGGCGGCCCGACGAGGCAGGGAGGGACGGAGGGAGGCGCCTGGGCGGCTCCGGGGGAGGGACCCGCCGCGTCCCCGCGCCCTGGGCAGCGGCGGCGCCGCAGGCACCACCCGAGAGCCGGCCGGGAGGAAGGGGCGGGGCCAGGCTGGAAGGGGCGGGACCGCAACGGGGGCGTGGTCAGAAGGGAAGGGGGCGGGACCTGGTGGAAAGGGGCGGGGCCTCCTGCAACTGTAGACACCGGCTGTGGACGGGCGCTTACCTGTGTGCAGCCGTTCCTGCAGTGGCGGATGTCCCCGCGAGCTCCATCCTTCCTTCTAGCTGTCCCGGGTAGCGCGGCAGGGCTGAGGAGCACCGCTCCGGTTGTGCTGAATCAGACAAATCGCTTTCATGTTAGGCCAGGTGAGCGGCTGCTTTCCTAGAGTGCTCCACTAAGACTGTAAAGATACTGCAAAATTCAAACTCAAGCAAACACAGAACCTGCTATCTTCCAAGACCCTCCAGCTAGGACAAACACCCACCTGCTGCTTGTTCCAGCATACCAGAGGCCCTATCTTAAGTCTTGGCAAAGTAACCCTTCCCTCACGCAGATCAAAGCAGAATAACAGCACAGTGATCAGGGAGAAAATAGGAGTAACTGAAGACAAACCACGAGTGTGGCTCTGTTCTGTCACCCAGCTGCATTTCCATTCCCTGCTGAGCTGAACAGCAATGTTGCTTCCCTCTAATTCCTCCGCAAGCACACAAAGCCTTTTTATCTAAGTGTTATTTACTAAAAGGCATCTGTTTTATGCTTGGTATTTAACTTAATTGCATAAAAACAGTCACAGCAATGAAATAGGTGGCACTTCCTTTAGCAGCTTGCTACTTAATGACATCAAAGCTCGATGCCACTGAAATCCATACCCCACTGCCAGTTAATGAAGGTCTTAACATGAAAGCCTATGCAAAGAGCAAACCCAAGCTGCTGACAGGAACAGAAATGGTGCAAATACGCTGGGATCTGAGATCACTAGCACATACCCACAGCACAGCAGGCAGTAATGATAATTAATTATTTAAGAAAAGAACACAGGAGCACCAGCATAAGCTGAAAAAATATGCAGAAGCATCGCTCTGGGATCCTCCAGTTGGATTACCATTAATTAGCACAGTACACGAGTGTGAGGGAAATTTCCAAGAGCATCCTATGGCAGCGTACGATTAAGCCATCATCTGTATCTTTGCTATATTATCAGTTTTCTTCCTGTTAGCATCATGGACAAAACACAATTTCACAACAAAGTACTGTCTGGCTTTCCTATTCTAGTTTAATTTTAATTTAGCTGGCCGACTGTACAACAGCATAATGCAATTTTATAAGGCATCAGTGTAACATATTGCATTAATTTTTTGCAGACACAGATGCTATATGGCTCCTTCTACCCTTCAAGAATTTTGCTTTCTTAAAACAACTGACTTTAGATCAGCTTCTGACTCACCTTCTTTTGCCACCAATAAGCTTACTGCAAGTTCTGCTTTCAAGCAAGGTCACATCTTGTCATTTCACAGTCACTTTTACTGTCAAAGGACACGATGGATGCTCCAGAAACCTCTGACCTCCTGGCTCTGAAAAAGATTTAGTAGAACACTGTTCATAGAATCACAGAATTGTTCCATTTGGAAGTGACATTTAACAATCATCCAGTCTTACTTCCCTGCAATGAACAGGGACATCTACAGCTAGATCAGGCTGCTCCGTCTGGTCCAGCCTGGCCTTCATGTTCCCTGGGAACACATGGATCTTCATAAAATAAACAGAAGATGCAGTGCACTGCATTGTCGTAACCACTGTCACCCCACTTGCTGGGAACAAAACAGCTGATCAGCAGGGTTACAAAGACTAGTTACCTAAAGGCTCAGTTTCCCCTGTATTGTACAACTGTTGGATATCACATCATGAAAACCTAACAGATTAATTGGACTCTTCTTTTCAATATCTTCTAATCACTTTCTCTATTTAATGAAGCTGATGTTAGTTCTAATAAGCCACAACTTCACAAAATCTTCTCCCTTGAATCTCTGCTTGAGTTAAAAAAAAATACTTTCTACTCACTCTTTCTCTGATCTCCAGTTCTCTTAATCAGCTCTGAAATTCATTTAGGATTCCTTCACAGTACAGCTGCTTCCAGCCTCCAAGTTCCTCTGCATTTGTTGGCATCTCTCTCTCATTAAGGGCCTGCAGCAGCATCTGTACACACAAACCTTGCTTTCATTATTCATCTGACTTAACCATGCAACAGTAATGAAAACTGCATTGCTCTCAAAGATGCGTATGGTATCAAACAAGGGAATTGTTTTTAATTTGAAATCTTTTCTTCTTTTGGTAATCGTCTATGCTTGAGACTCAGGCTGACAATTCCTGTCTGTCCAAATCATCCTGATGCAGAAACAGTTTGGCAGTTCCTGAAGCAGCTCCACCACTCACTCACGTTTTCTCACACACGGCTCTCTGTAGGGGCAGGAGGTCCACAGCAGTAAGTTGAAATTCCCATGGCATCCCAGGTAATTAAATAAATAGTTCAGCTGCCTGAGTTGCCATGTTTAATGTTCAAGGAGGCACAATCACAGATTTTAAAGGCATGAATAAAAAAGCCCCTTAATGTAAAAAAGAAAAAAACCAAATAAGCTAGAACTTACATCTTCTTGTTAATCCAGGTTTCATTTGTACAGTGCAAAACCTTCTCAGCTCTATGCTTTACTCCAGACCAGAACTACTTCCCCATCATACTTGGTATTTACAAAGTTGCAAAGTACATTTTTATACGATACCATTACAGAGCTTAATTTCAGGCTCCCTCTTACAAGGATATTAACTGAATAAACAAAAGAGAAGATTTTTAACATTAACACTTTGTTGCACTGGATTTTGCAGGTGGCTCTGCCTGGGGGTTTTCAATACATCTGTGATTATCACTGACCCATTTTTGGAGGCATGCTGAAAACACGATCTTAAACATTACCAAGCAGCAAACTATTATGACAAGAAAGAAACACCCATCATCACAACTTGATTTTAAAAGGAAATCTGTAAATACATCTATCATTAACGTCTATCCAACACATTAAAGTGTGTTAAACTACAGCAGACATTTCAGTGCATGACACAGCAATACCACGTGTGTATTTATATCCACTAACCTTCTGTCTTCATTTTGTCTTGTAGGACCTCATTTCAGAGAGATTTATTTATTCTGAAACATGACTTATTCTGAACACGTACTGACAGACACTTCAGGCCTTCCTCCTCAGATGCTCCAACCACCAGCGGTCTCCCATGTGACTGAGGTGGGAAACTTGGATATTTAGAAGCTGTGGGTGAGAAAACCTGGCCAACATCCACTAATCCTCCCTCTGGTGTGAAAACACAACAGAACTTTGGACAGCAAGGCAAGGTGGCACGTGTTCCACAACTCCTGCAGCAAAACACTGGTAGGAGCACTTCTACTCTTCTCTCACACATAGCTCAGCAGAGCGAACTGACAAAAGAGCTTACTCTGTAATAGAAAGGACTTATCTGAACTTGGGAAGCATGATTTTACAAACAACTGCAGTAGGGAAACTAAAAGGATGCCTGCAGGCTGACTTTCAGATGTTCACAATGTAAAAACCTCTATTTGTCCTTTTCCAGTATGGCCTGTATACAAAAAAAAAATAAATGGATATATTTGTATTTGGTTCCCATTTCTGTTATTAAGGATACAGCCTTCAACACCTGGTAGGGTGTAATTAATACAAACGTCACATCATTAATAGGGAATTGTCTATCAGAATGAACTTAATTTTAACAGGAAAGGTAACCTGATGAACTAATAAGGGATTTCTTAAAGGAAAAATACAAGATCTCTTAAGACAAAGGTAACTTGTTACTTCTCCATTTAAGATCAAAGAAGGAAGGAGTGCAAGGACACAAAAACAGATCATTTGAAGCTTCACTTTGCTCTCTAACACTTTTTTCTTCCCTTTTTTTTTGTTAAGCTCAGTACAACCTCTAGGTTCACCCTATAGAGAAAGAAGATGAAACAAGGGATGTCATACACAGCCCAAAAGAACTCTGGGCAACTTTGCTGAATGTGTTTAAAGCTACTGAACTTCACAATTTTTATTTCAGAAGTAAAATGATAAACAAAAAACAAAGCACTTTTAATCTTCAAAGTAATGTATGATCAATGACAGCTTCACAGCACTTGATTGTCAAGCATCATAATCTGTATTTTACTCTGGGAGGAAAAGATGCATAGAGAATAAGTGATCTGCCCGGGTCTAATGCTGAAACAAGGATGGAACTCAAACATCACAAGCTTGTACATTAAACCACAAAAATCACACTTCCATCTAGAAGCTTTTCTTTTGTCACCAATTTTTATTTGAGCAAATGATTATTATAATAAATAGAACACTTTTTTTTCCAGCCCCTGGAGAAACATCAGATACACTGATGGAGGTACATCTCAGAATTATTTGGCTGTATCTTCAGCATAGCACACCAATTACCTTTCTACACCTCTGACATTCATTTAACCACTTCAAGCAGGTTACCTTAAAGAACTATCTGCTAGGGCCAGCCAACATATAAATAGCCTCATACTGGCAACACCTTCCTGGTTAAATTACATTTATAGCCCAAACATCCCACAGGAAATAACCAGCCTCTGGGTTAGAGCTGTGCTTTCTGGAAGGGAAGTTTGACTGGGTAAACTGAATCTTTCAATCGTCTTCCCTCTGCCTCATCTTTGCCCACCTAAATCACAAGGGATCTTTTCAAGAGGAGAAGCAGCACAACATTAAGATGGTACTGAGTCAAAGATCAGTTTAATGGCAATTCTACAACTGCCTGCAGTATGGGAAGTTTGGGAAAAAAAAAAAAAAAAAGCTCAAGTGTTTGCAAATCAATTTTAAAAGTTTTGTCTAGAAACGTACACCTCCCTTAAACTGCAAGGAAAGATTTCCATTTAATTGCACAGTAAACTTATTGTGATCTAGGGGATTGCTGAGAGATTTCATTTACATGCTAATGCTGCAAGCAGTTTGGGAGAGGGAAAAGAGTTACTTAGCACCAGTAATGAGCAGAAAAAAAAAGAAGGCAGCCACAGTCCCCATGGACTGTTTTGTTTTTAATATCTTTAGACTGTCTAATAACACCTTTAATAAGCTGTTCTCAGCTATAAAGCTGCAGTCAGCCTTTGTCAGAGAAGATAATGCTGCCCCAGACAGGAAAACAATTCTGATATGATGCACAAAAGACCCCCATCTAAACAGAAGTTTCTTAAAAAACAGAAATGAGAAAACCATTAGTGCAAGAGGCAAATTGTGCAGCCCATACTGCGCATTCTTCCACTTCTGAAAGACTAGATTTCAAAATGTTATCTATTTCAGCAAAAGTATTCTAAAACTCCCATTTTGCTGGTTTACTTTACTCCAGGTCCTAACTTACAATTAGACCAACTTATTTACAATGTACTCATCCCCTGTAAATGCCATCTAAATTAAGACTGATCATATTAATTTTCTGTTTATAGTTCACGTTACCCACTTATTCTAAGTGACAGACATTAACATTGCAGTGGGCCATTGAAATTTAAGACTTCATTCATTCCACTTGGTTTAATGGCAGTTCTCACTGAGGCTCAGGGTCTTGCAGAAAAGCCTGTGATACTCACACAGTAATTCCACTATATTAACTACAGGATTCCTCAGAACAGCAGGTCACCTTCATCCCTATAGATCCCATCTATGTCCTTTTCTCTAGCTACTGGTAGGGCAGAATAAGGAGAACAAGTATGAAGTTCAATTAAGAAACATCTTGTTGTTTTTCCTGATAAAATTAGATCAGTACCTGAATGTATGCCAAGGGTAAAGCAAGCTTGAAATGCAAACTACAAAACCTAAAAAATCTGAGGCTTCCAGTGAGCTCAACTAATTCAGTACTAACAAGTATGGAATGACAATGTGAAGGTGCCAGTACAGCAAGAAAAAGATATCAAAGATATTTCATACTGATTTCACAAAGAAATACGAAACATAATTTCTCAAAAAGTCAAACAGATCTAAAGCCCCAAGTAGTATTTTCCACAATCAGAGCTAAACATGTGACCAGATTTTAAATCCTCCTATGCTCTGAAATGATTCAGGGTTTTAACCTCCCTGTGGAGGCACTGACCTCCCCCTCTGCACAGCAGCAGCACCTGGTAATTAGACAGCTACACTTGCACCAATTATGTAATGAGACCTTTCTCCCCTTTTCTTTTTTTTAAACTTGTTTCTACTTCGTTGCTATTCTGTGCTACCTCAGAAATCCTGGGAAATAACGGTAGCACACAGTTCTATACCCAGAGCTCAAGTAAGAGGTCAACAGAAAGGGCTTTCTCATTGCCATTTCCTAGCAATGCCCCGTCATTTCAATACAAGAGGTTAAATTACTCCAGAAGTCTCCCCACAGGGCTTCCATTGTTTGTCAATCACGGCCGGGACACAATGGCACTCATTCATGTGCACAGCAAACAAGTAGACAAGGGCCAACCATCAGCATACAGTCTCATTTTGGTTCTTCTGCAAACAGTTTGTAGAAAGATGGCATTTCAAATAAACCACGTCAAATTTTCAAATATGCAAATTCCTAGTGTATAATACTTAGTAGGGAGCCTGAATGAAATTTAAGAGTTTGAGAGCCATTACAATAATCACCCCCAAAACAACTTACTCTTTAGGATTGCTCCTGAAAAAGATTGCCTGTTACAACAATATGCAAAAAGAGTATGTTTTAATAGTTAGAGAAATACACTTTCAGAACAGTTGAAAATAGCTGATTCTTTTCAAAGACAGTCATAAGAAGGTTTTGTTTTCAGAGTACCACTTAGTGTTTAACCTCAGAACTTATGTTACTGAGGGGTACGCAGACACCAATGTTCCAAAGTGCACTTTAAGGCTGCTTACTTCATATCTTCTGCTTAAGAACCCAAGAGGCTTAAGGTTTGGTGATGGGCTGTTAGTTTTTTTGCAACATCTTAAAAATAGAAAAAAAAAAAAACCAAACTATTACAATATGACCAAAGTCCAATTCTGCTGACAACAGGAGAGACTCGAGTCTCACAGGTCTCACACATCTCTTCATTGCTTTGCCTTCTCTACTTCAAAGTTTGCTAGAGCGAAGACTTTGTCTCCTGATCCTTTGAGAGGAAAAAAACATTTTTATTAGTATTAGTAGAAATTGTATTTTAGAGAATTTCCTTATAAACAAATAAAGCAAAACATCCAAGATCAAAAGAAATCAAACCTACATTTTGAAAACTGGAACACCTGAGCTCGTTTAAAGAAAAAAAAAGGAGACATGCAGGATGTGACAGGTCTGAAGCTAGCTATGCAGAGAGCTTCTAATGAAGTATCCTTCTGAACAAAGGGATTCCCACCTTGCCTGCACTCTCAGAAAGAAGAGTTACTGAGAGTTAGGTCAGAAAACCAGTTCATTTGTACCCTGACCTACTCTGGCACATTCCTGCCAGTTATAGTTCTTTCATCACAGCTCTAACTGCACTAATAGAATGAACTGCCATGCTTACTTAATGTATAATGTAAGTGAACTTTTGGTCTTGTCAACATGATTAGAGTTATGACAATCACAGCAAGAAGAGTGCTTTAAACTATATTTTGACACTGTGCCAGTAACTGCAGAATTCTCTGCATCAAGTAGAGAAAAAGGCTCTCCTGAAGAGTAATTAAAAGTACTGTTTAACTCTGAGAGTGATATTGTTTGCTTGAGAGAGAGCATTTAAGCCTTCAGCATTAGGGAAACATTCAGCATTCTATGGCCAGTTGTTACTTGGTTTAGCTGCTGCATAGCTGTTCCCTCATTGACAATGTATCACAGTTTCATTGTTAATAAAATAGAAAAATGTACATCAAAAATTACTGGCATCAATCTTTTGCTTGTATTTTCCTTTCCACAGAGAATCACTGGCATTTGTATCTGTTGCTGTTCAAAGAGGCAATGCAGCCAGGATTTATGAGAATGAAAACTCACCGAGGTCAGAGGAGACTTTCTCAAACTGGCTCAGGGCTGCACCTGCATTTGCTGACAAGAAGGTTTCATCCTCTTGTGTCAGCTAAATGAAAAAAAGGTCATAACTGTGAACTTGCTATCTTACCTGTGCATATTCCCACCATCTATAAATATGAAATACAACAGATTACAGGAGCTATCAACTTGCAGCTTCATCTAATAGTAAAAGCCAAAGTAAAAATGCAAGCTTCTGTCCCTACCACTGAATTTCTTCCTCAACACTGTCTGTCAGCCACACAAGGGCAGCATACACATAGCACTAAGTCTCAGGAGCTCCAGCGATCATTTTGGATTAAATGGTCACCCTGCACCTCTGAACCACAACTATGCAAAGGTTGTTAATTACTTTTGTTGTGACGTGGTCCATACAGAAATGAGTTAAGATCTTCATGTGCTTTGTATCACCCACCAGCGAGAGCAAAAACAGCTGCTGCCAGCTTTGACCACATTAACAGTCAATGACCTAGAAAATGGTCTGTTCCTCACAGCGCTGTGAACCATCAGTGACATTTACACATGTAGATTCTGCTTTTATGTTTATGCTCTGATGTCTTGGTGACAGATGCCCATAAAATATTTATAATAATGAAGCAATAATCTACATCTGGAAGGTACAGATATTCTGTGTTAAAATTTGCTCATTTGAATAGCCTCAGATCAATATTCTGACTAAATTAAAGCAGAATTAAACATGTAAAGCTATTCATTGTGTTTATATCAGTTTCATACTTGAGAATAGAGGCCACAGTAGACCACCAGGTGAGAACTGGGGAAAAAGTATTAGTTTCCTACTTCAGCTATGTTTTGTAAGCAGGCATCTAACTACTACACATTTAGCACTACACTGCAGATAAACATGTATCTATCAACTATTTTTTTTTTTAAAACCTTCAGAACAGAACTGTTACTATAGGCAGTCCTGCATGAAATAGACTACTGACCATTTTAAGAGATAAGGAGGCTGTCAAAGCATAACACAGAGGCTTGTGTGAGGTGGCCCAAGGAACTCATAACAGGAGGGTTACATATCTTCATATATTTTAGGTAGCAGTTTTAGTTAGCCTTTCTAATTATTGCCAATTTTTTTTTTTCCTCTGACAGTCTAGCAATAAAAATATTCATAGTGAAAACATTTGCTAATGCACTCCCTTGATCTTTTCCATTACATTTCCTCACTAGGAAAATATAGCAGAGATATCAGCAACCCATTTTCTTCATATACCTTCAACAAGAAGAAACAACTTCTCTTCCTCCCTCTAGTGGTAAAAGAAAAGTGGTTTAGTACAAGTGCTTCAGGGCGGTTACTGCCACACTTGATGATCATTAAGAAAGTTATAATTTCTTATTTTAGCCCTTTAAAATCAATCTGCAGTATATAAACCAGCTATTCACCAGCTAGCTATCAAACCAACACTTTACCTTCTCACCGAGCTTCCTGAGGGCAGTCAGGATTTCAACTTTCTGTTGTGTGTACAGGTCTCGTCCCAACTTCCCGACCATTAGGTCTCGGTCCATCTGTACACCAAGGGAAAAAGAAGTCAAAATACTTTAAGCTTCCCAGTAATTCCAATCTCTTCTTGCAAACATTACAAATTGAAGCATCTAGTTCAAATGAACAGTTTTTACAGTAAAACAGAAGCAGTCACCTCTGCCAACCTTGTCCTCAATTGCCTTGGTTGTTTCTTTGCAAACATTCTAATTACTTCTGGAGTTTTAAATGCTTGGCTGATGGCTGCCTGTATTGCCTGCAGGGAAAAGAAGAAAAATGACCAGAACTAATAGCAATCATAATCTACAACTGCATGAGAAGATTAATGAAGGCCGGAAAGCATCATTAATATCCTCTGAATCATTTGATAAGAGAGCTTTTCTTTGTTTGTATAACCATAGAACTGAGATGAAAAAAAAACAAAACATTTGTTCAGGGTTTTAAAAGGTCCACTAATTGGTGCAATCATTCTGAGAAAAGGATATGAAACTTATAATTAGAATCTAGGTCTTAATTAAATTCCAACATCTTCCTGATATTAACATAACACACGTGGATGTGCTACGCTATCTTTAGCAGTTTTAATACCCATACTGATAACTACAGGTCTTCCAAAAGTAAGCAGAATGTAATTGATGGTGCCAATCTCCTGCCATTCAAACTCCTCTGGGGAGTATCAGAGCTGTTATATTAAATCTCACCACATGTTTGGACAAACCACGATGTCTCTGGAAACAAAAACTTAAAACATCTGGCTCAGAAGAAACGAATCATGCTTTCATTAAACACTTGAAAAGACAAAATGGATCAGAAGTTTGCAAGTCAGAATAAAAAAGATCACAAAGGAACTTAAATTAGAGTCACTTCTACAGCCTTTGCATTTGGACTCTGAAACACAAACCAGTAACATGAGCACAGGGAAATGTTATCTTCACCCTTAGCAAATAGGCACGAACTCTCCACATACCCAAAGTCCTGGATTTTCCTTCACATCTTTTATATTATTAAATACACATATATTATATATATATATAATGTTTTTCTAATATTCAGGCCTTGCTGTTTCCCATGTTTTTTCCTCTCCAATAGTAGGTTTCCCACGTGCCTGTCTAGATATTACAGAAGACCATCTATATCTACTGTTTCACTGAGTCCAGACAGAATTCAGCCTCATTTTAGGTAACACACAGGGTAGGCAGATCTGAATGAGAATCAGACTCACCAGTTGCATGCCACTGAGCTCATCCACCAACGTCATATCTCCAGACATAATCTTCTTCAGTGAGTCATTGATCTCACTCAGCTGTTCTAGAGTTTCTTTCTTGGTTTCTTCATACTCATCTGCATCTAGCTCCTCTCTAAAGAGGTTCCAATGAGTCATGTTAATTCATAGAATTAAATCTGAGTTGTAACATGGAGACAAGGACATGAGGATGCACCATGAAGCATACTTCCTCATACATAAAAATTCACAACCAAAGCATCTGTAATCGTAAGACAAAGCAACAGGGACATAAAAGTAACTGCTATTAAAAAAGCATAAAAGTAAAAAAATCCCACTGAAATACAACATTTCAAAGATGACATTAATGATTATTTTTGCCCCAGTGTCCTGGTTTCAGCTGGAACAGAGTTGATTTTCTTCATAGTTTGGTACGATGCTTTTCCACAAGGCAACAGAATGACCTCAATAAAAAGATTTGTTAAAGTCACTTTGACTACCTGACACCTTATCATAATTAGAAAAATAGAATCACTACAAAACACAAACCAAATGCTTATGAAAGGTGCAGTTCTCATCTGCCAACAATTTCAGAAAAAAATTCACCTTTAAGAGGAAAGCATCCACTATTATTACCTGCATTCCTCCAGATCTTGAAGTTGCTGCATTAGCCTGTCCAACTGCTCTTCCAAGTTTTGTTTCAGTTTACTGGTCTCTGTTGTTCCTCTTGAAGCCATTTTCAAGTTTCATATGAAAATTTTAAGTTGTCACATAACAGTCCTAGAAAAAATAGTACTTTATGGCTGTGGGTCAACAGCTTGAGATGGGTTTTAAAACGATTCCAGTACCAACATATAATACCTCAATGATGGAATATCTAGTAAAAGCACTTTGAGACACCAACAACAGAAATACAGAAATGTTAGGCTGTTGGTTTGTTCGGTTATTTTTTTGTAGAAAAAGTCATACTCCAGATAATAACTCAAACAACCATTGCACATGGAAACATTTGTGAAACCAATCACCAAATACTGATATTCTCATGTCCTTTAGACACAACAACAGGCTCTTACTAAATCTTTCAGGCTGGAGAAGACCCTTAAGATCATCATGTCCAACCACCAATCTGATACTACTCCATCCACCAGAAATCCATGCCCCTAAGCCTCCTGTCCATATATCTCTTGAAAACCTCTGTGGTGTGTGACTCTGCATTGCCCTGGGCAGCTGGCTCCAGCACCTAACCACCCTTATCCTTCCTGGTGTCACTAAACCTCCCCTGGTGCAACTTGAGGCCGTCACTTCACATCCCAGAAGTACTGTTCAACCTCTTCATCTTCTCTTCAACTGCCCCTCGGGGAACGATTCAAGAAACAGCAACCCAGACTGAGCTTTCTGAAGCGCGCAAACACCTTAAATAAAATCGTCACCCGTAGAAAACTAGAGCGCTCCAGGGGAAATTCCTGCTTTCTCGGCTGTTCAATAGGCCGCAGCAGACGACCTAAACGGCACGCTCGGCAACGCCTCGCTTCCAGCCCGGCCGAGCAGCACGTCCTTCGCTTAGCAGCTGCTGCTCGCGCAAACCGCACGAGGAAACACGATCCTTCCGCTGTTATGGCACGGCCGAGATAACGGAAGGGCTGGGGGAGGAGACACGAACGGACGGACAGAAGCGCAGCCCGCCTCTCGCCGCCCGAGGCCCGTCTGCAGCTCGCCTCTCCCTCAACGCTCCGCCGGTGCCGGAGGTGGGGAAACGCCGGCCCAGCACGCGGCCTTCAAGCTCGGCTATGCTCGGCCCGGCCCACCGCGCACTGCCGGCCCCGCAGCCTCACCTGCGGCAGGCCGGCGCTGCCGGGACCGCGGGGAAAGGCGCCGCGGCGGAGCGGAGCGGCTTCCGGCGCGCCCGGCCAATCAGAGCGCGGCGCGGCGCGGCCCGAGGGCGCGGGGCTGATGGGGTGAGGCCGGGCCGGGAGGAGCTGCGCCGGGGCCGCGCTTTGGCAGCCTTCGCTGTCGTGGGAGGAGACTGCGGGGACGGAGCCGCAGCCGGCGTGCCTAGTGAAAAGTTAACGCAAACGGAGACCGATATTCTGTAAGTATGTAAACGTGCTTAACGAACGAATAAACGAATAAACGAACGTTTGCCTCTAAAATACAAAAATAGGCCAAGGTGTGATCACCGCTGCCTGCTCATCCTTGGATGGAAACGGGTTTCAGAGCTGGGCCGAGATCTGCCGTGGGTATGGCCTGGATTGCAGTGCGGTGCAGCTAAGTGCCGTCAGGGCTGTGAGCAGCACAGCTATTAGCGGTGGCATCCCGTATGAGCACGGTGGGCCTATAAACACGTACGGACAGGATCGTGTGCATCACAGAACATCTATTCCTCCTTATGAAGAAGGAAACAGTCTAGGCTGTCCTATGCTTACTTGAAAATGTACTGACAGCAGCTGTGCTTCGTTTCTTCTTGAGTCTCTACAGAGGCACCAACATTGAGTACTTGGCATGAGGGAATATCGCCAGCAGTCTCACACCCAGCTGTTCATTTTGCCATAGCGCATGCACACAGAGCTCTTCCCAAAGTCAGAGCTGTACCAAGGTCAGTTCGTGGAGAGCAGATCCTAGCTGTGAAGGTGCTGTGCAGGTTCTGAGGATGACAAAGCAGCAGTGGGAGTCACAACAATACCTCTGTCCTCGGCTCTGTTCTCCACAACAACCACATGGCTTTTTTCTGTGCAAATAGTCTTCAAAAGAGCGTGCCAGTGCAGATGAGGAAACAGCATGTGCAAGTGGTTACACTGCTATCATCAGTGCAGACACACAAGGTGACTGTGTGTGAATTAATAGCTACCTGCTTCTAAGGAGACATTAGAACACCAGAAAAGTCACGATACATTTCCATCCTGAAATCTTCCATTATTTTTGCCCTTGCTCTCTTCTTTTTTTTTTTTTTTAAACAGTTTTTCCAGTTTGCAGGAGTCACTTTCTTTACAAAGGGAGACCTTTCTGCATTACAAAGACAAGTTCAGCTCCTTCCTTGCCTGTTCCCATGGTAATTCTTGTAGTTGATGCTAGACTCTATTCCTACTTACATTGAGCCCTACAAATGCTGAACTACTCAGCAGCAATAAGGAATATTTTAAAAGTTTGTGAAACTCCTGAAAGCACAGAGAAGTCCTAAAACTTGCAAAATGTACCTCATAACATGCCTTGCAAGAATTCCTTCCATTCAAGGGCTTTTTGAAGTTAGTAGACAGAAGCTGTTTGAAGATTTAGCTGTGATGAGATCTCAACACTGTGGGGGCAGTGAGCATCTCTGCCTCTTTGTAAAGGAGGCTGAATGTGAGGCTGACCTTGGGATTTTTCCAGGCATTGATATTACTATAGAAATAAGAGCAAGCTATTCAGCACTCAACACAGACGCCTCAAACATCTCACAAACAGCAACAGCAGGAGGACAGCACATAATATATTCCAGTTTTCATTTGCTTGCCCTGCAGTTGGGGGCTTTAATGATGTAATTAATGATTTAATGATTTGTTTGTTGTGTTGCTATTTTTTGTGAGCTGTCCATTGTCACTGAGCTTCCTGAAAATGCCTCCTCCTCTTGCATGTAGGAGGGACACACAACTGCTAAGATAACATACAAAGCAAATCCAGCTTCACACATCTATAACTTTTGTTTTCCTCCTAGCATGCTCATTTCTGTCAATATCCCTTACTTCTGAACTGCAACAGAAAAATTATTTCTGCAATGTGAAGTCACTGTTGTCACATCATTCTACTCAGGGATTGGCAGAAAGAAAGGTGAGCCTAATCTGTTAAAAGATGGATAACGTGGTATCACATGAGCCATCACAGGCCAGATACTAACAGAAGGAAAACAGTCTTCAGTTTGATCTTTAAATCATCTTCACGTGAGTAGAAATAACTACTTTGTAATCTCCTTGCAGTAACCAGGCTGGTAACTAGAACCAACCTTCTGCACTTGGCTCTGTGGCCACAAGGAATGGCAATGGAAGATCCCGACAGGAAGACAGAAGTAGTGCTGCTGGCCTGTGGGTCCTTCAATCCCATTACCAACATGCATCTGAGGCTATTTGAGCTGGCTAAAGACTATCTCCATGAGACAGGTAGGATGGTAATTTATATCATTTAAAACAGCTCTCTATTGAGATACTTACACAGCTATTTTTGGAAAACTAATTAAGTATTGAAGCTACTGAGCGTACGTCATTCCTACTAAATGCTGTAGGCTAAATACATGAATGAACATTCTCATGTGTTTGCTGCCTTTTACTAGTTGTAATGAGCTAGGGCACAGGTTCTTTGATTTTTCTTTCTGAAATTAGAAAGGCACAAGTAGATGTCATTAAATATATATTTCCAGCACTTCTTACTAAATATTTAATTGTGCCACCTCATACAGTGGCAGAAATATACAGTACTTTTCCACTGGGCTGCTTATAGGATCTGTTACTGGTGTTCTGAGGGACTACAGTGAATAATGGGTGTGTAATGCTGTACATACAATACTCTGGAAATAACATCTGCTCAAGCACTTTCTGTGTTCTTGTGTGATAGGATGATGCGTTTTTTTTCCCCAACAGGAAAATACAAAGTAATCAAAGGAATAATTTCACCAGTAGGTGATGCATATAAGAAGAAGGGTCTGATCAGTGCTGATCACCGAGTAACTATGGCAAAATTAGCCACCAGTAACTCAGATTGGGTGGAAGTTGATGACTGGGAAAGCAGCCAGAGTGAGTGGTTGGAAACAGTGAAAGTTTTAAGGTACTTTTCTGCAAATCCTAAAAATCTTAAGAACCAACAGAAGGACAAGGAATGCTGTTAGCTCTAGATGTTAGAATGATAGCAGGCTAACCCCAAACCACACTGAATAGACTCATTGAAGTAGAAAGTACTACTTATATAAGTATTGTAAACATAGGATTGCACCATTAGTCCAATAGATACACAAAAGGAGCCCATGAACAATTTGTATGTTTTTATTTATTTTCTTAGGATCTATTCAGTTTTTGTGCTGAAAATATATTCCTGAGGAAAGAAAAGAGACTAGAATAGGGTGTACATAAACTATGCAAGTTTCTCTCACTTTAGTTTGTGTTACACTGCCCATTTGTGTATGTAAAGGCTGGCATTAGGATCATTTACAGTAATATTTTCTTACATTTTACTCTTTTAGTCATTGTTCACTGAGGTTCTTCTTAAAATGAACTTCAGTTTAAATAAAGCCTGCACTCATTGCTCTGACATCTTTACACTTGCACCATCTTACAAGCCAGCTCTCACAGCTTCCTCTTCCAGCAGCTCCCTTCTTGGATGGGTTTTCTGTGCAGGTGCTACAAGAGGAAGTGGTGAAAGGTCATTTAGTAGGCTCTATTTAGAATACTCTTCCCTGTATTCTTCTGTATCTGAAATACCTCCATTTTGCAGGCACCATCATGAAAAGCTTTCATCCCCTGATGCTACCATTAGTCTGCAGAATGCTTTACCTTTAACAAAGCCAGGACGGAAGAGGAAACAAGAACCAAATAGGCACGACCCCATTAAGAAGAAAAATCAGAGTCCAGATGGAAAAAGTTAAGTCTGTTTGCAAATTAAATGCTTAACAGTAGTTGCTATTTCAAGGGAACCGTGCAGATGAGTAACTTCTTTCCATGCTAGTTCTAGTTGTTGATTTCACTGAAGGTTATTCACCAAGATCCCATAGCATGCAGCAGTAGGCTTTGTAACAAGACTGTAAGAGTAAAATATATCAGACATAAAAAATATTCAAGTTAATAGAAATTCAGCTGGAAAAAGTCAGAGCTATCCATTTCTTCTATACCAACTTTGCTATACTCCAACTACAGCTAGAATTTTGGAACATAAACTATGAATGATTCAAGAAAGAAAGGAAAATAGTAAACCTCAAAATTCAGGATGCATCTGGGTACAGGGTCATTTTATGGGCTTCTGTAACCTTTTTCTTTTCTGCTCAGAAAAATTATATATTAAAAGGTACTAACTGTAAGTTATATGCTCTGAATCTTTTTTATTTCATTCCATTGTCTCATCTTAACCAAGACAAGAGAGGTAACCTAGATATTAAATGTCCCCATCACATTAGCTAACATCTGGCTACCTAAAGCACACCCTGTTTCTTACTTATTTCTCTGCCTTAAGATGTCCCACAGGTTAAACTGCTTTGTGGAAGTGACGTGCTGGAATCCTTTGGGATCCCCAATCTGTGGAAGTTGGAAGACATCACTGAAATTATGCAAAATTATGGCCTTGTATGCATCAGTAGGGCTGGGAACAGCATTCAGAAATTCATCTATGAATCTGATATTTTGTGGAAATACAAGAACAACATTCATCTCGTGGAAGAATGGATCACAAATGACATTTCCTCCACCAAAATCAGGAGAGCACTACGGAGAGGACAGAGCATTCGTTACCTGGTGCCTGATGTGGTGCGGGCATACATAGAGAAAAACGATCTGTACAGCCTAGAGAGCGAAGACAGGAATGCTGGGGTTACCTTGGCTCCTTTACAGAAAAATGCAAGTGATTCTAAGAACTAGCAGGCACTTCACAGATAATTTGCTTTCTGGTGTGAAAAGATAATAGTCCAGTACATGAAGATGGTTTTTTTTTTTTTGTCAGTAGCAAGCAAATTGTACAGCTTCAGTAGATGTGCAGCTGCTGACAAGGTTTGGTTTGTTTAACATGGGGGCCTATATATTCTTCATTTTATAAAATCCAGTAATAAGATTTTCACATCTAGACAGACTGTCACAGTTCAGTGAACTAAATACAAGAATTTACCGTAGTGTACGAGAATTACAAATATGAACAAAGCAAATGAAAGTGTTCTGATTTAGCTCAGACTACTCTGACTGCTATTTATGAAATAGGAACACAAATAACTCAGCGTTATAAGTAGCAAAGTCATCTTACTTGAAACACACCACTTCTGAGGGTAAATCTGCAATAACTAATTTTTTAAAAACTGCTAACACATAATGCAACTTGAATTATTTGGCTGCATGCTGTAGAAGGAAGAAGCTACTGCTGGGTGCTAGCTATACCATGCTTTCAGTTGCTTGCCTTTCAAATATGAGGCCTGTTTGTTTGCTGTCATGCAATCTGCAGCTCAAATGCCTCATGCTTTAGTTTTTCATTCACATTTCCAGAGCTCTAGATTAAGTTCAGCAGTATTTCTCAAATGAGGATAGACCTACCTCAAAAACTGGTTTATAGCCATTGATTTAATGGCTATAAGTTAATAACAGCATAGTTGCAGATTCTCATACCATTCTCCTTTTATTTCCAGTTACAACTGAGCCTTTACTTTTAAGCCAAACAGAGACAATTGTTTGCTGCTACTGGAATTGAGAAGAAATAGTGGGATGCTAGGAACATATATAAGCAAAATGGTTTTCTTTGCTGGAAACCTGATTTAGAATCTAACAAAATATTGTCTCTATTATATCTATAAACTAGAGAGGCACTATGAATGCCATGGCAATTGAATTGTACCTCCCTTTCTTCGCTGCCATCCCATTTTTTTTTTTTAAGATTACGTGCTTTACTAGAAGTGTCAAGGTTTCCAAGATGCTAACAGCTCAACAGCTTTCTCACAGTACCTCTGCACAGCAAATTTGTTCACATTTTTCAGATTCACAAAGCCAATAGAATGAGAGATTCTGAGGTGTGTGCAGGGCTCCCGTAGGAGTCAACACTTCAGTGGGAAGAGCTGTAGTTTGCAGTGGGGCTAGGATCAGGGATGCACACCTGGAGCCTCACAAAATATTTTGCAATTACCACAGAGCAGAACCCCTGTTCTAGATTCAGCCTGCATATGTGGCCATTACAGAGAACATACGAGATCAAAACCGAATCAGAACTAAGCAGGTCATCTGTAACTGTATGGTGACATGAAGTAGCTCCAAGGCTTTTTTTTCCCCACCCCCGGGTGATTCCTGCATTAAATGTGCTCATTCCACTGGAGCTTAGGCAAGCTTACACTGTCTTGATAAGGAGGCTGGGTTCGTGCATAATCAATGGAACTAATGGTACTGAAGGACACGTTAAGCACCTCTGTCATGCTTCAGCAATCAAAATGCCACTGAAGATTGAATTTGAACTATATTAGTGATGGTGTATGGGAAAGAACAAGATCTGTATTTCTTTTCTGTCTGCTGTCTCTGTGGCAGATAAGAGCAAAGAACAAGATCTAAATTAATTACTCAACTCGATTAGTGTGTTTCTGAATAAACAGAGCAAATCTATTGAGTGGGAAAGCAACCTATTTCTGTGGTCACTTTTCAGCATGAAAATGTGCTTTAGATTTACTCTTCTAAGTAATGACACTGGTGTGTATGGATGTGCTTTGTGCAACTCTAAAGAAACTGCATATTTGAAAGTAATAATAATAATTTAATGCTTCATGAAGCACTGATTATCAGACACTACTTCACCGCATTTTCATGTAGTTACACATGATGGGTTTTTCAACAGAGTAAATTGCATGTAATATACTAGTTTTAGTCATTAACCAAATCTGATGTCTGTTGATTGCATGACTTTTAAGAGGGAAGAACATTATCAGTAGAGTTTTTTCCATACCAACCAGAATATTGTTCAAAAACTGCAATGAATATAGATCTTCTGTTTTACCAGTGAGATCCAGAAGCCTCCATTACAACACTGGGAGTAAGCACACACAGAATTTAGTGTTCTAATCGGTTCTGAATAGTAGCATCATAATTAGTGAAGCATCATTTTGCAAAATGATAAAGTAAAACTTCCATGAGTGGGCTTTATCTACAGAGAATTTATATTCTTCAAAATGTAAAGTTTGTGAATAATGCAGTTCATTAAACTTCTATAAAGAAGCTACAATGTATTCATAGATGCTCTGTAAAATAAATTGCCTTCTTTTCTTGTTTTAGTTTTTTTTTACATTATTGCATTTGATTCTGCACTAGTAAGAGAACAGAGGGCTCTTATATCACACGTGTAATTCAGATTGAATTATTTTACAAACGCTACAACAGCAATAGGAGCACTTTATCTGCTTCTGAGTTGTGTTCGATGCTCAGTGCTGCACAGCAATTAAGATAAAAATGAAAAAATAAGAGTCTTGACAAGAAAAACAGGAGAATTTGTAAGGGAAGGATAACTGAACCATCACAGGACAGTAGGTAGCTCTTACAAAAGTTCCACAGCTGGTTCCTTGGATTAGACTTGAAATAGTAATGCTAGGACCCTCCATAAGTCTTAGTCTGAAATTCTGCACCAATGTAATGTTTCTTTCTGTAAACCCTGGCAATCTGCAGAATCTTCGTATTGAACTGCAACTTTAATCCAGATTTCTGCAGAGGCTTTATCCTAGTACTGATTTCTCTTTTCTTGGAAGAGACAGGAGCGCACAACAGAGCTCTTCAAGTATCACAACTTCGTAGTAACAAGTTGTGGGTGAAATGTTACTGTCTGAGTCCAGGAAGAGCATTCATTTGCATTCCTCTGTGCCAGTCCTAGTTAAGTATATGTTGGAGAACAATATCCATCCGCAAACAGGAAAGAAGCTTTGACGTCTTCATTTCCTACCCACATGATTCTGTGAGTCATACAGGTCAAACTTTGCTCCAAAAATGTAGCTAAAGTTCAGTGAAACAATCTTCTCTGCAAAGTATTATCCTTTCGCTCAGACTACCCCGAATAGATAAAAGTAGCAGCTGTGAGTTCTCTCATTCAGACTCAAAGCAGCAAGTTCTCTTCTCATGGAAGACAATCATTCAGTTTAGAAGGGACCTTAAAGGCGATCTACTTCTAACCCCCTTGCCATGGGCAAGGACACCTCCAACTAGTTCAGGCTGCTCAGAGCCACATCCAACCCAGCCTTGAGTATTTCTGGGGACAGGGCCTCCACAGCTTCTCTGGGCAGCACCTTGCAGTGCTTCAACACCCCACAGTGAAGAAAATTCACTACATCTTTCTCATATTTAACCAAAATGTACCTTCTAGCCTAAAGCCATTACCCTTTGTCCTATAACTACATGCCCTTGTAAAAAGTCTCTCACAAGCTCTCTTGTAGGCTCCCCTTTCAGTTCTGGAAGGACGCTTTATCACCTCCTCAGATCCTTTCCTTCAGGTTAAAGAAATGCAACTCTCCTCTAGAAAGCTCACAGACACAGCTGTAGAACTGTGAACAGACCTCAGGCCTCTAGATCTGTCATTTCAGCCTCAATTGTTACATAAGCTTCCTGTCTGGTAAAGTACCAGAGAAAACAGAATTTTGCTTTCATTCTGCACGTTGCCCATGAGTCTGGGTCTTGGTTCAGCCAGAACATAAGTAACATAAGTAAAGAAGTCAGAACATCAACAGATAACTGTGGCACAGCAGAGCTATGTTGAGGATCACATCAGAGAATAATGTGCAAATAAGATTTGCCTTTCACTTTCCTGTTATAGCTGCTAGACAACAACGCTGCCCACTGTTCACTACAGACACAAACCAGTGAGGTATACTGCTCACTTCTACTACACTGAAGTACAGCTTTAAGACTTACTGATACAGCCCCATCGGTAGATCTTTTCAAAAAAGTATTTAGATTTCAAATCATAAACCCTCAGACTGAATGTGGACACAGGAAATCTTAGGAATGACAAACTGTGTCCATGACACCTTTTAAAAGATACAAGATAGACAGAAGCTGTTTAAATCAGTTTTTGGTTTGTGCTGTGACTCTTGAGTTAATAACATTTGCTCCATACAAAGATTTCGGAAACAGTGAACTTTTCCCTCCAACCCAGGCAATGCTCATCTACAGATATTGCCTTTCCTATTGGCTCAGCAGCAGTACCCCTCCCCTCCACCATCAATGTTCTCAGACACAATCCCACCCATGGTCTCTCATATAAGGCCTGGTTGGAAATCTGTTTCTTTACTTCTGCTTTTGGACAGGGGTTGACTGTAACTCCTTCTCACAATCTAGCAATGCCTGTGGATTTCAGTGGAACTTGGAACCTTGCCAGTAATGACAACTTTGAAGGCTACATGACAGCTTTAGGTAGGTGAAAAGACCTAATCCTATCTTCTCTCTTCCCTTGTGAGGGGCCTCCTGCATTTTAATTGTTTGAATTCTTCTAAAACCTAGATATTGATGATTCTCACCCCTGCCCAAAACATAGCAGAGGATATTTACTAGCTGGTTATTGGCACAGCATTAGCTATTAGTTCAGCCTACCACCTAGCTGTCCTTGCAGCCTTTAGGAATGTAACAAGTACCAGACTGAGACAAGTAGAACTTTCGTACACCTTTCAGAGACAGGGAAGAGCTCTCTGTCTACTGAACTTCTTTTGCTTTTCAGGACAGACTTACAGAAACTGCCTCACAAAAAACTATGCCACATCATTCCTTTCCTCTCTAAGGATAATGAAAGACCATTTACTATTATTCCTTGTAGCTAATAAGTAGGGAGTTCTTGGAGTCTGGGTGTATGGAAAAAGACCAAATGTTCAAGAACGTGCCTTAAATGTGGAACATAGCACTGCTGGGGGAGTAGAAAATAAAAACAAGAACAACAAAACCAAATTGCAGTAAGTCAAACCATCCCTAAGAAATGCTTCTGGAAGCAATACAGGTAAATCCCAGCTGTCGGAACACTCAGTGAGCAGTACAACTCTCACTGGCTTTTTTCTTCTGTCAAAGGCATTGACTTTGCAACACGCAAGATAGCAAAAATGCTGAAGCCTCAGAAAGTGATCAAACAGGATGGCGATTCTTTTTCCATCCATACTACAAGCACATTCAGAGACTACATGCTCCAATTCAAAATTGGTGAAGAGTTTGAGGAAGACAATAAAGGCCTGGATAACAGAAAATGCAAGGTAAGACTGAATAATTCAAAAATCAGTGTGTTCTTACAGAAGGAAGATGCTGTAGTTCACCTTGCTATCTGGATTGAAATTGTTTTAATAATACTATTTTTAATATAGATAGTACGGTATAGATGCAAGAGCCTCAGCTAATGATCAAAAGTTCCACATTCCCTCAGCAACAGTATTTAATTTAGGTACATTTTATCAAGGAAGAAAGGATACTGTCTACTAGGCATTTCAGAACTGAGGTAACATAAACACTTGGTTTCTTTTTAACAGAGCCTGGTTACCTGGGACCATGACAAACTTGTCTGTGTCCAGGCTGGGGAGAAGAAGAACAGGGGCTGGACTCACTGGCTCGAAGGAGATGACCTCCATTTGGTATTTGATTTCCTTCTGAACTGTCTCTAGGTGACAAAAAATGCAACCTGTATTGTAGTCATAATATGCAAATTGTCTTCTACCTCAATAATACACAGAATAGTACATAAGGAACCCATTTTGCTTTCAGCTAGTTTAGCTGAATCACAGAATTGTAGGGGTTGAAAGGGACCTTTAGAGATCATCAAGTTCAACCCACAATATAGTTTTACCATTTCATTCTTATTCATCTTGCACAGCCAAATGCAGAACGTTAAGCATAACTTAGCACAGCAGCTCAGTGATGGTCAGTGGGCATAGCAAAATATGTCTTCTCCTTTGGAGTTCCTTTGGTTACTATATATGGGTATTTTTTGTTTGTTTGTTTTGTAGGAGCTTCGTTGTGAGAATCAAATATGTAAGCAAGTATTCAAGAGAGCTTAAATATCAGCATTGGTTCCAACATGGAAAGACAGCAGGAGGTCATGCATTCTGGTGTCCAGTGATAACTGAAAATACAAAACCTGATTTCTTTCTAAACAAACACTCTGTTTCTGTCTCAAGAAATACTACTGGTTGTTAGCAGTGTCAAAGATCTGATTTTTGCTAATAAACACCACAAAACATCTTAAGTACCTGTCTTCTGAATGTGCTTTGGAGAGGGGAAAAATCCCCAGTTGTGAGCGATACGGTGCTTTGTGGTTAACTAGTCACCTAGATCAAAACAAGAACCATTCCCCCTTCTAAAAGGGCATGGCAAGATCAAACAAAACAGGAAGTACAGCTTAAACTTGAGTAACTCTAGGAACGGTAAAAAGTTAAGATTCCAACCAAGGATGGAACTTTACTGTTTAAAATGCTTCTCTCCTTAAGATACACACTGGTACTTTGGGGGCAGTTAACTGCTCCCACTAACTCTCAAATGAGTAATGTGAAGTCTTGCTTTGTTTTCATAACAATGAAGTTCAGTTTACCAGAGGAAGTCAGTCAGTGACCACATCCCCCGATAACAAAGATAGGTCTGAGCAGTCACATAAGTTTCAGTCCATGAAATAATTTGATGCTATCAGCACATATAGAAAGTAAAAAATAATGCTGCTCCTGGTGAGGCTTATTCGCATGTATTTGTTCCATTTGCTAGCATACTTTACTACGCAAAAATTCACCAGGTCAGAAACAAGAAAGAAGAATAAGCTCATGTAAATAAGTGGCCAGATCAACTTGTTACACATGTGAAATGAGCTGCTACATCTCCTGGGTAACACTAACAGCACACAGGTCCTATTGCTGAAGTTTAATCTAAATTACTGAGCTTCAGATAGATTTAATTAGGATTCTGTTTTTCACTCAACTTATCCTCAAAGCTTTTAGAGATAAGTAGTACAACTCATCATTTAGGTATCTCTTCCTCACTTTCAGCTCTGTTGAAGCTGGGAAAATTTTTAATTAGATCAATATCCCAGATAACTACCAGAGGACTCGAAATGTGGCTTCCAAAACAAGAAGGAAAGTCCTGGTACACCTTAGGAGTCAGGACAGGGACATTTGGAGGACTGGGAGTAAAACATGGAATATATTTCCTGAATTCCAACGGAGTATTCACTTTGGAACTGAGAACTGCTTTTATTTGCTCGGAAATGAGATTTATAATACCATAGAACTTAATATAAATGACACTTTCATACAGCAAACGTGCTCTGTCACCTCTACCACTAACATACTGCAGCAGTCACAGACTTTGCTACTCCATTAGATGACACGACTGCAACAGAAAGCATTTTCATTTAAACTGTAGTGATACCCTACAGCAGCACTTCCAGTGTTAAATATTGCAAATACGTTCAAGTCGCACAGTTTAAAATCATGTATTCCAATCATCTGTGCATGAGAAACACCACAGAGGTGGTGACAGCATTAAGAAGTCTGTTAGTACAAAGAGAGATAATTAGAAATCAGAGAAACGTAATCTTAGAAGCTCATGTGACTATAAATATCACACTTTGGTAGTAAGGCTACTATAGAGAAGGTTTTACTATTAAAAACGTAGAAGAGTTGCTATCAATTACATTCCTTTTTTACATTGCTACCTTCCTACTTCAAATGGATGATTTGAAAGCAGACAATGCTACGCCCAGCTCACTGGAGGATGATTTGTAGTTGCTGAGGAAGAGACAAGCAGCCAGGGACAGAACTGCTCACAATAAATCAACTAAATTCACACGCTTTAAAAAAATACAAATTAACCATCTTGAAATGCCAAGTGAAAGAAATGAGAGAACAGTTCTATGTCTTGTAACTGAGGAAGAAAAGAGACAGTAAGGTAACTTTCACCAAGAAACTAAACCAGGATCCCCACAGCTCCAGAACTAAAGGACAGGAACAGAACTCACCAGGGAGGCACCGGGTTTTATTCTAAAGTGTTTCAGCTCCATTACCTCACCACAGCTTTGTTGGCAAAACCCCTCCAGCAACCATCTGTTGCATTTTGCAGGCAGTGCCAGTGCTGAGAATGTGACTTTAAGATGTACAGAGCACACATCTGCACAGAGCAGATGGGTGAAGGGCTCCGCACTCCTTCTGGACCTTACAGCTACAACAGACAGTACAAATTCAAAAGAACAGTTCAGATTCACGCTCCATTGAACATTTCTTTTAAGCACACGTGGAAAAAAAGTTGCACATGGTTTATGGAGGTGTAAGGAACACAAGCACAAACACTATTAAGGTTGCTGAGTTTTACACCTAAACATTAACTTCTAAGACACACAACTGGGGGTAGTTCCCTAACAATCCCCCTCCTGTATTCCATGTGTAGCAGCTATCCTTAGGCAAAGAAAAAGGAAGAGATAGAAAGGAATATTTTACACAGAAGTATCACTTCAGGGCATAACGAAAGGACGTGATACAGAAAAGCTTGCGTTGTTCCACGGGAAGAAAACAAAATACCTCAGGTTCAAAGGAGCCGGGCAAAAGTACGGCAGCAGGCTCCATCCCTTCTTGGTAACGATGAAGTAAAGCTCACGGTGCCTTTGAAGAGAAGCGGGCGCCTCGACAGCTGGCACGCCAGTATTCCCACCTCCAGGTAGCCAGCGAACGATCCTCACACGGCTTCCCGCCCTTCCCGCCCTTACGGCCGCCCCCGTTGCCATGGCGCCCCCAGGCCCCGCCCCTCCGCCGCGCCACGACGCGCCGCTGCGAGCCCCGCCCCTCCAGCTCGCCTCCCGCCGCCTTCCGCCCTTCCCCATTGGCCGCCGCCGCGCGCGGCCCGGCATGCCCGGCTCCCTCGGAGGCCTCATGTGACCCACCCCCAAGATGGCCGCCGCTGCCGCCCTCTTGTTTTGATGAATAATCTCTGCGCGGGGCAACGGCCGCGGCGCGGGCGGGAGCTGAGGCCGAGGGGCGCGGGCGGGCGGGCGCACGGCGCGCGGCGGGCGGCTCCTTCAC